CGGGGGTATGTAACATATCTCACCTTCATTGGGTATGCAATAGCTTTAGCACCAAGAGGCCCCAGGCCGTGGAATCTCATTCGGAATTCCTTGTCCTCAATATGCTTAATAAAATAAGTAACCGGTATAACACCAGTTTCATTGCACATGTGAATATATTTTCTATCCCCTGATTTATCATTTTCCAGTTGGATCTCCTCTTCGTGTATCCACTCTGTAAAATATAACAGTACACGTAGTCTTTTAGAAATTCATCCAACAAGATAACCGACTTTACAGAAAAAAATACAAAAAAATACGAATATATTCATATCCAGTTAGAGAATAGCATACAAAATAATATCTATAATATGTATACATGAATGTATAATATGTATACATGAATGTATAATATGCTGCTGAAATTGTTTGAAAAGCAGTTAGTAATAATTTAATTTGTTTTATCCCATAACAGTCATTGCATAGTAACTAATAGCGTTGTCGTTTTGAATAGTATATTTAAACGGTATTAAATTGCAACCATTTGGCTTGGCTTGGCAACTGTTAATAATTAAGGTCTCAACAAATACGGTAAAACTACCCAAAAAATGATGATATAAAACATTACAGGAAGCTATGTATGTAAATATAGTGAAAAGCATTCAAAACCAAAACCGAAAAATATTTTTAAAAACACTGTACTTTAATTTTGATTGCTATGTTTCCTTTATTGACGTGATTAATATAAACATGACAATGTATTATGCCTTTGAAAAGAGTGTTACTGCCAATGCATTAATTATTTAAATATGAATAAGTATGCTACGAAAGGTTCCAATCTCGTTGCCCTACATAGCTGACTGTAATCCTAACAGTATTGACGGATTAATGGCACTCTACCAGATGAACATGCCTTAAACCCGTGGTTTTGCTTTCACTCCTTCGAAGAAATACAGATTCAGCTTAGCGTGTGATTTAAAAAATAACCCCATGGAAATGACGTGGAGCTACGTATACGATGACAAAACAACACTGCATTATTTACTGAGAAGGAATGTCAAATTATGAGGTATTCTTCGTCACATTAATGATAACAAAAACAAAGATTCTACAGAGGCAACAAATCTTCGTTGCTTTTTGTTTTGCCTTACCTTACTCTCCTTTATCATTTCTTTATTATAAACATGATATGTTTAAAGGTAGTAAATTTAAAACAAATCCGAATTGTCAACAAAACTCTAATTCGAACTCAAATTAGATAAAACTAGGGCAAAATATGAACAAAGGAACGGTTGACATGGCGATCTTCGGAAAAGTACAAGGAGAATAGGACCAGGTGTAAGAGTCTTCTGTTCCAAGATGACAAGTACTGGTAAGTATAGTCATGTCGTCTCCCTCTTATATATAAGCGAAATCGTTTGCAAAAATAAAAATTGTTCCTACCTATCATTCCGAATTTTTGAGAGCAGGACGCAACGGAAACACAACAAATAATTCTTTGGACTTTTGTCTGATATCCTTTACAATGGCAGATAAATGAATACAATTTGGGGAATTTTTCCTCCAAAATGTTCATATAAAGTAAATCTATTTACATCAGTTCCAAACCCGGAGATAGTTGAGTAAAACAATGAAAAGCATAACTACATTGCATTCGTTGTTCGGCCAAAGGTCACAGTCACATCAAGGTCGTAATGTGTATACCAAACACACGAAAACGCTGTGAAGTTAAGACTTGACACACAGAAATTTAAGTTATCATGACGAAAAATAAAGATAGACTTGATACCAGCGTTCGTCTGGGAGCTAGAAGGGGAAATGACCTGAACAGATAGAAAATGATCGCTTTCGTTATATTAGGCAGAAGGTGTTTTTGCTGGTTTCAGTTTTCTTCAATTTTATTTTACGTGACTGTTAAACCCGCGTTACTGACATTGGAAACGTTTATAATTATGCTTTAACAATTCTGTTTCCAAGGTCACACGTCGATATAAGGCTGGAGAGATACCGCCGAGAAGTAAGATAGATGTTACATGTGTTACTAGCGGGACAGCTAATAAATTTTATCTTCGTTAATGTCCCTTAATAAAGAAACACACTAGAAATCCCCGTTTGTGCTGGGGTACCACATAGGTCGCCGCTTACGGCATCTGTATTGAAATCCAATACGTCTTTTTTTCCAAACGTGCAGTGGCATGTTTTTAAAGGAGCACTATCAAAAATATGTATTCATATATTGATAACTAAGCGATGTTCACTTGTAGGTAACTCTTGATATTAATATGAGAATTATATTTGTTTACTAAAGCTGATGATAGAGAATACACACCTTCATAGTCCATATCGAGATCTGTTTCGTAATCAGTTTCCTTGGAGTAACGTCCATCCATCGGATAATCTGACATAGTGAAATTATCGTCGTCTTCTTCATCGACATTATAATCGTTTTCCACTTTACGAGTTGCACCATGTTGTCCTCTAAGTTCTGTTATCAACAATTTGTCAGAAAATAAATTTTGTAATGCTGCCATTTTGTCTTCAACTGACAAGACACTGTGGGGACTTGCACCACTCTGTCCACTTCTTCCTGAGGAAACTCGTCTGAATTTAGCACTTCCATTGAGGGAGGGAGTTCTTCGCTTTGGTGTACTGTCCGAGCCATTTCTAGATTCGCATTCCCGGAAGGGAGTGCTCGTTCCCGAGACGGCCCCTGTAACAGCCGCCATCTGTAACAGACAAAGGTTATAGGATCATTTAACCGCTAGCATGTCTAGCCGATCCTACGCGAAAATCACAATTCTATGCGCAAAAACAAAAAAAACAAAAACAAATTTAAAAAATAAAAAATAAATTTCCTTTGATTACTTATTCTGATATAGTAGGTACTTAAGTGTTTTTTTTTATAACAAAGTATGCCGAGTGAAAACAAATCAATTGTATATTAAAAATATTGTTTAATATCGCACTGGTTTTGTCATGCTTGTGTCATCAATTGTCATGGTATAAATATGCTTGTATTGGCATACTTGCGTCATTTTTGTAACGATAAGATTTAATATGGCCCTTTTTCGAGCTCATTGGGTGATTGATCGAAATGATCTTGAAGTGTTACTCATTTTGAGTGGGCCTCATTTCTCATTCAATGAACTTTACCATAGCCAATTTGTTTATAAATACAACGATCGATTCAAATTATTCATAACTTTGTTTTTATATCCTTGGAAATATTTATAACTGATAATTAAGTGTTCATATTCGTTGTTCATTCGTTGTAACCACCAAACCAGATTGTACAAAGTTTTCATACTGGTGCGTGTCGGATGAAAATATCCATATTGAACTATATTAATATTCATATTAATAATGGAACCAGGCGGAGATTCCAGAAATAATATCATTATTAAACTATAGAAAGAGAACAAATGAGTAGGTATACAGCATACTTGTAAATATAAAGAAGTTACTATAAAACGCAGAATCGTGACACATGATTGTCTATGCATGTGGACTTCAAAAAGCCACAGCCAATGGTACAGGACACATATTTCTTTTGACAATTCAAACATCTAAGGACACGTTGTATTAATTGCAAGACTTTGATGATATTTGAAAGTAGTTTAAATATCACCGTGGTTGACTTATACGAGTAAAGTATAGAAAACACTATAGAAATACTTGTAGGTAACACTGACACAAATCAAACCTGTAACTAAGGCTCTGTGGATTGATAAATCTCATTTATGTATAGGAAGTCTATGAAAGCTCTACAAACAAGTCGAACCAATAATTGGTATATACAGTTCAAGTGATCTAGTAATATCAAAACATTGTCTTTCAACCATACCGGCCTAAATCGTGGTCATTTTATCAACGACGTGATGGTGATTATATTATGGTATAAAATACTATATATATCGTACATTGTTTTAATATTATATTGTAATAACTGTATTAAAGTATCACTAAATACGAATATATTTTGTTGTTATATCATATGTTTAAATTCAATCATTTATGCTGCAAAATATAGAATCACACGAATTCCCAAAAAATACACATAGTCATAAACTATGACACATTTACGTTTAAGGATAAAACTATATATAAAATTCCTCCAAATTGTGTTTCAATCTGGTACAGATGAACCTACCTGTTAGCCTTGGTGTTCAGATATATATTACAATATGTGTGTTATGACTTTAATACTATCAACACAAATCCAAATATGTACACCACAATTGGGATTGACTGATCGGTGGTGGTATTCAAAAAACATGCTAAGATTTTTAAATGAATGCATTAGTTTACCGGATGTTGTTTGTATGAAACACTTCCCACACCTAAATACCACATGTTTCATATCTAAGACATTGGCATGATATCAAATGCAAGGTGTCAGAAAACAAACTAAAGGTATATCGGTGACAGGGTATATACCCGGCTTTTATGGTAAGTGGGATTAGTTTATGATATTATACCTTTATGGATATAACCTAATTTAATGTAAATGCCCTGTTATAATGTATCATAAGCTGGCGGCATGTTGGTCAATGATAAACCGGTAACTGTAACAGATTAGCTCTCTACACGAGTACGTCAAACAATAGGTAACTGAATGCATCTGTATGAAAGAAAATGTACAGATTTGTTGTAATGTAAAACAAATGCGAGGAATATAACGGTGATATAAATACACAAATTACCCCTAACCTGTATCAGCACCTACAGTAGTGTTTACACACGTAGACTTTTTGTTCAGGTGAATATGAGGTAATAAAAGTCTTTTAAAAATTACGGAATTATCAAAATTGAACTTCGGATATTACCGCATTTGGTAGAAAACATTGTGAAATAGTAAAATCAATATTACAAATCATCGACCTCGACTTGATTAGGATCCAACCGATGAGGACGTAGATTTTTTTTAAAATTTCAATTAATGAAACTGATCAACGAACAAGATAAGATAGAAATACGACACTGTTTGTATTACTGTGTGTGTTTTGTTTAGTCGCAGAGATACAAGTACGACTCGATATTTACAATATACAGTAACTATCAGAAATTTAAGAATGGATTTTAGATATATGTATTCTCCCATCCTTCACAGGTGTCTCCCGTTTTTGCCGGGAAAGACCAGTTCGTCAACCCCTATGGGGAGATAGCCTCTTACAAGTATATTTCATGCAATTACCACTTGTTCGCGGATTTCCAAGTGAAACGTGATGGGAGAAAAACAAAGCAAAGCCTCGGGTTGGACAATCAAAAATGTTATTCCTCGGGTTGGAGATTTCTCTGTCACACCATCATATGATATATCTCTTAGATATTGACCATAATTTTGTCTCATTACATGAAAACTTTTTCAAAATACGTCTCAATTATATATTACATTGTTTTAAAGATAAGTCGTAAAACAACAAAAGCAACAACCTTATGACATCACAATAATTGGAACAATCGTATGATGTCATAACAGTTGGCAAATTCTATTAATATATAAAAATTTAACCCAAAAAAACCCGCATGATGTCACATCAACTGGATCAGTTGTCTGATATCACAACATCTTAACAATTGTATGCAAACAATTGTTTGAAATCAACAAGGTTATACATATGACGTCGAAATATATAATTCATACAAATATCATTACGGCAATCCGTTTTTATCCCAAAACGGCTTAAGGTTTCACCGCTCCAAGCCAATCGGCGCATTGTAATATAATCGCACTCAGAGAGTGAAAGCTATCATCTAGTCACGTGTCACAACATTTAACGACGTCACACATGTATTATATCCTCACATCGTACACCGAATTGTATGCCAACAGAGAAATTAAATCATTCCGTTGGTACAGAGAAATCTATTTGTTTTAATTCTCAGTGCTATTGGAAATAAGAGAATACCGAAGTGGTAACAAAACCGTAACTCAAACTCTAAACCAGTAAAGCCTTGGCAAACTATCAACAAAAGATAGATATACATGTAACACGAACTCAATACCAGTTAAGCTTATCCAAACTGTTAACAAAAGATAGATATACATGTAACTCGAAGTCAAAACCAGTAAAGCTTGGGCAAACTGTCAATAAAAGATAGATATACATGTAACTCGAACTCAAAACCAGTAAAGCTTGGGCAAACTATCAACAAAAGATAGATATAAATGTAACTCGAACTCAATACCAGTAAAGCTTGGCCAAACTGTAAACAAAAGATAGATATACATGTAACTCGAACTCAAAACCAGTAAAGTTTGGCCAAACTGTCAACAAAAGATAGATATATATGTAACTCGAACTCAAAACCAGTAAAGCTTATCCAAACTATCAACAAAAGATAGATATACATGTAACTCGAACACAAAACCAGTAAAGCTTGGGCAATCTATCAACAAAAGATAGATATATATGTAACTCGACCTCAAAACCAGTAAAGCTTGGCCAAACTGTCAACAAAAGATAGATATATATATGTAACTCGAACTCAAAACCAGTAAAGCTTATCCAAACTATCAACAAAAGATAGATATAAATGTAACTCGAACTCAAAACCAGTAAAGCTTGGGCAATCTATCAACAAAAGATAGATATAAATGTAACTCGAACTCAAAACCAGTAAAGCTTGGGCAAACTATCAACAAAAGATAGATGTACATGTAACTCGAACTCAATACCAGTTAAGCTTGGGCAAACTATCAACAAAAGATAGATGTACATGTAACTCGAACTCAATACCAGTTAAGCTTATCCAAACTGTCAACAAAAGATAGATGTACATGTAACTCGAACTCAATACACGTTAAGCTTATTCAAACTGTCAACAAAAGATAGATGTACATGTAACTCGAACTCAAAACCAGTAAAGCTTATCCAAACTATCAACAAAAGATAGATATACATGTAACTCGAACACAAAACCAGTAAAGCTTGGGCAATCTATCAACAAAAGATAGATATAAATGTAACTCGACCTCAAAACCAGTAAAGCTTGGGCAATCTATCAACAAAAGATAGATATAAATGTAACTCGAACTCAAAACCAGTAAAGCTTGGGCAAACTATCAACAAAAGATAGATATACATGTAACTCGAACACAAAACCAGTAAAGCTTGGCCAAACTATCAACAAAAGATAGATATACATGAACCTCGAACTCAATACCAGTTAAGCTTATCCAAACTGTCAACAAAAGATAGATGTACATGTAACTCGAACTCAAAACCAGTAAAGCTTGGCCAAATTGTCAACAAAAGATAGATATACATGTAACTCGATCTCAAAACCAGTAAAGCTTATCCAAACTGTCAACAAAAGATAGATGTACATGTAACTCGATCTCAAAACCAGTAAAGCTTTGGCTAACTGTCAACAAAAGATAGATATACATGTAACTCGAACACAAAACCAGTAAAGCTTGGCCAAACTATCAACAAAAGATAGATATACATGTTACTCGAATTCAAAACCAGTAAAGCTTTGGCAAACTGTCAATAAAGATAGATATACATGTAACTCGAACTCAAAACCAGTAAAGCTTCGCCAAACTGTCGACAAAAAGATAGAAATGTAAACTTTACAAAATTACGGAAGGAAAAACCAGACGTCTAGCTATTGAGTATTGATTATATTTTAGATAGAATTATGTGACTTTATTCCAAATATAGAACGAGGATTACGCTTGAGAATAACCTTTTTCCGATATAAATCATATCCAAACACCTTTGATATTCTCTATACATCTTTATAGATCAAAATTCGTTATTTATTAATTGATTTCATCGTTGTAGTATTGAACTATTCCACCCACGAGCTCAAGTGCTGTATGATAGAGTCCGATATTTTTTGTAGTAATACCATCAAATTCAATTTCTGGTCTTTCATTGTATCAAATATCAAATTATAGACTGTACATACCAATGTATTGCCTTCACACATCGTTGCATATCAATGTGTCTGAGAACAGGTCATTGATTTCTGTACACCATTTGTAAGGGATAAACATCTATTGAGACAGCTCCCGTGGCTGAATACACGGAAAAGACATTCCAGTAAGAACAAGCGCGATCCATTTATAGAACTGTTAGCTTGTACCCTGTACAAGTTCAAAGTATGGCGATGATTTACATTGATATTGATTAACAAGACCGTATCACCAAAAAAATAAAAGTAGACGTGAACTACTACAACCGAACATTTGAATCTGTATGCACGCTGTATAAACAGTTTTGTCTGGCTATTTACTGACGGCTCTGGTACAGTGTACCACTGATTTCAGAGCTTTGGTAATGTGACCCCTGAGTGCATCCTAATTTAAAACACTTGACATATAAACATGATTCAGTTTAACCTTTTTACTTTGTTTCCTGAAGTGTTTGCAACTTTTGTCTTCTTGATACTTGTGTCTCTAATATTTCTGTTGTGCGAAAAGATATTTGTACCATGTAAAATCCATTTACAGGTTGAGCAATTCGACATGGTGTAGGCAGGTCGCCTTGGAGAATACCTACACAGAAATGGAGACAAAAAGGTTTTCACGTCAAAGAAATCAACGTTGTATTTCAAAAGCATGTATGTAGTACAAAGAAAACATTTCATGACCGAATCACTCGGAGGCTTTTTATGAGAACATCTGATTTTAGAGAATAAGTTCTTATTCAGGTCATAGATATAAATAACTTTAAAAGATATTCCTCATGGTATTCCCTTCACTATGCTACAACACTTTTATCGCATACGTGTATTTGGTCAAACAGTTCAGGAGTACTAGGATGTTGTCTTCTGAGGTTATATTTCTTTTTATAATTTAATGATTAATGGACCATAACGCAAACTCTCATATCCATTAAATGTTCGGTTAACACAGGAATACAGTAAAATATTACTTACCTTAAGTGCCAATAAATGTTAATGTTATTGAATATTGGTGTGAAATTGAATACAATTTAACTCATTACCTGTATAGAGTTAACGTCTTTTAGACGGACTATAACAAGTTGAGTTATTATCCACACTTAAGTGTTGGCTGGGGGTTACAGTTAGAACTATTTACTGTTAGGATTGCATGACACATTAAGTCAAGCAATTATCCATTATCATATAAGTGTGATAAAATGAACTCATTATTCCGACGAGACACCGAGAAAAAAAGGAAAAATGAATAATCCCCTTTAATTTATATAAACCTCCGGAGTCACATGTAAACCGGACCGTATCCAGCAGTGTCGTCCGGTGTGCCACATTATACACTAATCATTTATATTAATTACCATTTACTGTGTAATTATACACAAGTGCCATCATTTTTTCTATTGATTCTCTCACACATCGGTCGTATTGTGCATTGATGTTTTAATTATATCATTTTTTTCTGCAATAAAATTAAGGCTATTTTTTTTAATGTTTTATAATTATTATATTTTCCAAAATTGATGACATAAACATATATATATATACATGCAATGTATATGGGCGTCTAGAATCGCCTTTAAATGATGTACATACTGTTCAAAATATTCGATCAAGTATCGGTATTCGTCATACATATATATTAACAAATAAGTGTACATTCACATATTTTTATATACAAATAAACTTCCGGATATTCTTGTCTAAAGGCTAAATTTATTAAATTCGTACAGATTATCCGATACTTATGATTCGGTTGTCTTAAATTAATTGTTCTATACTTTGTTCGTAGTAATTGTTTGTTTCCATTTTCTCTTTCATGTGTTCGTCCCGATATATATGTACAAAAATGTATTTCAAAATATCCTGTCATTGTAGACTGTGCATATCAACAACTCATATTATTTGACAAACTTAATGTACGAGTCATTCATCGTGATTTTCTTGCAACAACGATATTTATTGTCAATATAAAAGAAATAGTTGAAAATCAAGTTGAGCATATAAGTTAGATTTAACAAGACATACTCTTTATACACTTGTATCTTGAATGTCACTACGTTAAAAACCGTACCTTGATTTCCGTTTGTCTATGAAGGATGTCCTAAGGACCCATTGGTTTCTGGTTGTGTAGAACAGGATAACTTTTACGGAACCCGGGAGCTATCCACGGGTTGCTCTTAAACAGTCAAATGAACAAGGAAAATAGATAAGCCGGATGTTCGCCTGGTCACCCGCTGCTGTGATGTCACAAACGGGTAGAAACAATATCACCAGAGATATCCTTTATCGACCCAGTGGTGGCTGTATATCGTTTTTACCAACCCAGGGCAGCGTCGCCCATTGGTATCTAGGATTAACTCACAAAGCTAAATAGGGTTAATGTAATACACAAACAATATACCTCACTACCTGTGCTGCTGTATACGGAGAGTTGGTCACAGATTTAAGACGGATTTAAAAGACTATGGCAAACTTCATTGTATACACAAAGTGGCGAGGTAGATTTACATATGTGCAATAATCCATAATCGATAAAAGTATATGACATAGAGTTGTAATCTATTGACACCTTATTGTATTATCATTATGTTAATGAGTTTTTCTCGTTCTTGTTAGTTTATTTAATGTGCTTTTAGTTGTTGATATTAAATGACTTCTCTTGATGATCGATGAGTATACAAATAGTGTTGTAGATTTACACGTAATGTGGTAGCAGCCACTGACTGGTACTCGACTCGAGTAGATCACACAGTAACCGGGATAGTGTGGCCTGTGTTTCACACCTTTAGGTAAATGACTTGCATGAATGTTCGCAGTGTAAATATGTACCCGACAGAAAATAAGACTTATTGATTCAACGCTAATAGTTAACATGCATTCGACCACATAGATATGGAGGTCTTCATATAATTAGTAGCGCTGTGTGTGGCAAAAATAACGGACGGCAGTAACCCTATTCATCTCGCCCGAAAAAGTTCTCAACAATAAGGAAATAATATCCAGATATTTACACTAAACACTACTAATAGTACAGTGCGTTTTAATGGACAATATATTGCAGCATAACTCAGTAAACTGAATCTGTTAAGTATATACTGTTCAAGGTTTACTAAACCATAATTAAGTATACTAAACCATAATTAAGTATACTAAACCATAATTAGGTATACTAAACCATAATTAGGTATACTAAACCATATTAAGTATACTGAACCATATTAAGTACACTGAACCATAATTGAGTATACTAAACCATAATTAGGTACACCGAGCCATATTAAGTATACTGAACCATAATTGAGTATACTGAACCATAATTAGGTACACCGAACCATATTAAGTATACTGAACCGAAATCAAGTATACTAAACCATAATTGAATATATTGAACCATAAATAAGTATACTGAGCAAAAAATAGGTATAATTAAGTTATATTTAACCAAAATCAGGTAATCTGAACCATAATTAAGTATACTGAACCATAATTAAGTATACTGAACCATTACTAAGTATACTGCACCAAATTTAAGTATACTAAACCATAATTAGATATACTAAACCATAATTAGGTACCCGAACCATATAAAGTATACCGAACCATAATTAAGTAAACTGTACCAAAATCAGGTAAACTGAACAATAATTAAGTATACTGCACCAAAATTAAGTAAACTAACCATACTAAATATACTGAACAATAATTAATTATACTAAACGACAATTAAGTATACTGAACCATAATTAAGTATACTGAGCAAAAATTAGGTATAATTAAGTATATTGAACCAAAATCAGGTAAACTGAACCATAAATAAGTATACTGAACCATAATTAAGTACATTGTGTATACTAAACGACAATTAAGTATACTGAACCATAATTAAGCATACTGAACCATAACTAAGTATACTGCACCAAATTTAAGTATACTAAACCATAATTAAGTATACTAAACGACAATTAAGTATACTGAACCATAACTAAGTATACTGAACCGTAACTAAATATACTGCACCATAATTAATTAAACTGAACCATAATTAAGTAAAATGAACCAAAATCAGGTAAACAAAACTATAATTAAGTATACTGAACCATAATTAAGTATACTGAACCAAAATCAGGTAAACTGAACCATAATTAAGTATACTGCACCAAAATTAAGTATAAAGAACAATAATTAAGTATACTGAACCATAATTAAGTATATTGAACCATAATTAAGTATACTAAACGACAATTAAGTATACTAAACCATAATTAAGTATACTGAACCATAACTAAGAATACTGAACCATAATTAAGTATACTGAACCATAATTAAGTAAACTGTACCAGAATAAGGTAAACTGAACCATAATTAAGTGTGCTAAACCATAATTAAGTATGCTGCACCATAATTAAGTATATTGAACAATAACTAAGTAAACTGCACCAAATCTAAGTATACTGAACCAAAATTTAGTATACTAAGCCAAAATTAAGTGTACTGAACCATAATTAAGTATACTAAACCAAAATTAAGTAGACCTAACCAAAATTAAGTAGACTTAACCATTATTAATATACTAAACCATAATTAAGTATACTGAACCATAATTAAGTATACTGAACCATAACTAAGTATACTGTACCAAAATTAAGTATGCTAAACCATAATTAAGTATACTGAACCATAATTAAGTATACTAAACCGTAATTAAGTATATTGAACCAAACTTAAGTATACTAAATCATAATTAAGTATACTGGACCAAAATTTTGTATACTGAACACTGATTAAGTATACTGGACCATAAATAGGTATACTGCACCAAAATTAAGTATGCTAAACCATAATTAAGTGTACGGAACCATGATTAAGTATACTAAACCATAATTAAGTATACTAAACCGTAATTAAGTATACTTAACCATAATTAAGTATACTAAACCATTTTAAGTATACTAAACCGTAATTAAGTATACTAAACCATAATTAAGTAAACTGAACCAAAATTAGGTATACTGCACTATAATTAAGTATACTTAACCATAATTAAGTACACTGAATTATAATTAGGTATACTGAATTATAATTAAATCTATGCACCATAATTAAGTATACTGCATCATAATTAAGTATACTGAATCATAATTAAGTATACTGAACCATAGTTAAGTATACTGAACCATAATTACAATGTTAGTATATTGAACAATAATTAAGTAAACTAAACCATACATAAATATACTGCAACATAATTAAGTATACTGCATCATAATTAAGTATACTGAACCATAATTAGGTGCACTGGACCATAATAAAGTATACTGAACCATAATAAAGTATAATGAACCATAATTAAGTATACTGAACCATAATTAAGTATACTGAATCAAAATATTAGGTATATTGAACCATATTTAAGTATACTGAACCAAAATTAAGTACAATGTAAATCGAACCATAATGAAGTATACCGAACCAAAAAAAGGGATAATGAACCATAATTACGTATACTGGAGTTTGCAATTTTGCAAAATGTGAAATGAACATGACTCAAATATTCAATGAGGTTTCCAGAAAACTGAAATCAAGATTCGTCATTATTTGTACAAGTTCTCCTTATACATGTACTTCTCTGCTAGCTTTACCTCCTAAAGAGCATACAGTATCCATCAAACTGTCAAACGCTGTATTTACAATCCAAACATCATAGGAGTCAATACCAAAACATATTTGAACAATAGTGTAATTATCTTACTTACCGTGCGCTTATCAACGCTACCGTGCTATTTTGACAAAGGAAGTCCATGTATAGCTACTTACATTTCACGGAGCCGGCGTAAATGATTTATTGATGGTGCTTACGATGTTTTCAGGTCTTCGTCCCGGCCATAATCGAGCCTGGGTAGAAATACGTAAAATCTACTTATACTTCCATTAATATTATGCAAATATCAGTAAGATAATTTATGGCTTCTTCTTTGCAGATCACAGTTTACTTCGTCGTTGAAAACTTCAGTATGTTCAAGCTGCCTGTGATATATTTATTTCATTTTATATTTACTATTTCTATAACTTCCATAACTGTTTATAGAAAAAGTGAATAAAGGAACAATAATTGTACACCTCTGTTCAACTTTTAATACGCTTATTTTAGTGAACGAACAAAACTAGAAAAAATATGTCTATCCGAGTCATAACCGTCAGCACACAAACACGAAATTAAAACTAGAATATAGAATATACAATCATATGACATAGCAAAACTAAAAGCTAGACATCACAAACATGGATTAAACACAGAGAAAAACCTGCTGATATTAAAATATAGGCGTTTCTTGTATAACACGAAACAAAAAATATGACGGTAATCTACTCTGACTTTTTTCGTAACAGATGCTGGAATCGCATACTAGTTGAACATAGAGGGAAATGAGGACGACCACGAGACCACGAGACCACGAGAACTTTGTATTGTAAATTATAACCTCAAAAGCTATGTAGTTTATTAGTATATAGGTTAAAGTTGTGCAGACAATACAGGCACATGTAACAAAGAACAGAGGCTGGTATGTCATTTGCAAAGAAAGGAAATGTAAAAATCAGAACCTCCTTCCCTTGTAACAGAATATTCCTTGGTATGGGTTAGGTCAAATAAGGTACAATATGAATGAAGGACACACGACTTTAAGATATTTCATTTTATAACGTCAATTTCAATAATATTATCATCTGTACTGCAATATAAACTGTGGTTATTGTCTAGATATATCCTTTATCATTTACACAAATCGTTAACTGCATAATGTACAGTATTTGTGCCATTTTTCAAAATATTTGTGTAGGTATTAAATAATAATAAAAAAACACTGCACATTTAATTTGAGGATAAAGTGAAGAAATAATGTTTGTGTATTCTATTGTTCTGGTATAAATTTGTAGTTAGCTTATTTAGGAGGAATCAAGCTTCAGAATCTACCTCCGAAAATTCTTTAGAATTATAATGTATCAGTCATGAAGGTACATGTAAGGTATTTTTTTTTCAAGTAATAAAAGGCGACAATAAGGGTTGTAAAAAAAGGGATCTATAATGTTGCTAGTGCAGCTGTTAATCAGGTCCTGCGACAGCTGTGAATTTCCGTCCCGATATTTCATACAGTGGAGAAATAACCATTTCTCTTATTTATTGCAAAACGTTATTACATCTGACGTATCTGCCAAGATACGTCTTGGAACTTATAGTGTAAAGCTACCTGTTTTTTTCTCATAATTTGTTAAAAAAGAAATCTAATGACCATATTAATTCTTTATCGTCATCATCCAGAACAG